TATTTTTCTTCAGAGAGGATAGAAAAGCAATACATAAGGCGCCGACGTATTAAAAAAATATAGTAGTATAGATAAAAGGTAGAGATGAGACCTCCAGAGATTCTCATTGCAGATAAGTCTCTTTTTTGGGTCTTATCTAATGGAATTTAACAGTATAATTGAATTAAGAAAAATAGAAAAGAGAAAAATTATATTTATTCATTTATATATTTTATTTAAATAAATGAATAAACTAGAAAACTATAGAAAATTTTTATTTCACTTTTTTTCAATTTTTTTAATAACTTAAAAAAGAATTTTTTTCCTTTTTTATTTATTTTCTTCAATTCAAATATATTATAAATGATTGGAACAAGGACGATACACCTATGCATTCATTTTTAGTTTGTCTTAATGTTAATTTTAGTTCCTTAATTTTGATTTTTAAATATCCTAAGTCTTTAAATTATATTAAAGGTAATGATATAAGAATAATTTTTTTATATAATTTATTAAATAAATAAATATACTCAATATCATAAATTTTAAATAAAAAAACTAATTATACAAATAATATGTATAATTATAAAAAAATAATACAAAAATTTATCTCTAAGTCATTTTTCTTATCTTAAAACCTTTTTATCCTTTAACTTTACAAATTGAAGATTTTTTTTAGTTAAATATTATGCGACTGTTATCTTACTTTAAAATGGTGTTTTCGTCAATGATGTAGTGTAGTAATGTCAGGTCATACAATTAATGATGTGGCAAATTTACTAACTTAGATGGCAAAGGATTCACTTTTTAAAAAAGCTGAAATTGTAAGTTTTTCAATAATTAAGTTTCTTTTTTTTACTAAACTCTTAATATTTAAAAGTCGGATCAAATTTTAATTAATTTAAAATTAAATTAAATTAAATTTTATAAAAGAAAAACTCTCTTAGTAAATATTTTTTTTCATTTATAATACTTAAATTTAAAACTTTATTTAATAAGAACAAAACCCCTTCTACCTCCACCAATTATGTCATTTGTCATTAATTAAGTCATTAATTAAAAGGTATAATATACTTCACTAATTAACTAACGGTACAGATTAAGTTTCATTAAATACAATATCTTCAATTTATTCTGCACAAGCTTTTATATTAGTTCAATTAAAATAAAATATAAAATGTAAAATTAAAATAAAATATAATATTTATATTTAAAATCTATAAAAAAAAATGAATTTGATATAAAATTTTGTATAAAATTAATTATAAAATTTATAATTAATAAAGTTTAAACTGTGCCATATGGCACAAGTTAGCAATCCCATTAACTAATTAACCACATTTAAACCCAAAACCGGGGACAAGTCTTCTGGTCTTCTTCGGTGAGGGTAGCTCTTCTTTGACTAACCAATTGAACCAAAAACCCATGTCACAAATCAAAACAACAGAATCAAAAAATCTTTATTACCATGCAAATCAAAGCCACATGAACACGCAAAGTCGAAAACAAATTTCTCATTGCAATCGAACAAGGAACGACCAAAGGAGAATCATGAAATTGAAGTAGCATAAAAAACAAAGCAAGAGAAATGAGCACATGAACATCATGCAAACTGAGCTGGAAGACGATATAATAAAAGCAAAATTAAGAATCCAAAACAAAAATCAACAACTTGTGAAAATCTAAAATTGAACATAGATTTTCAGTCTCCAATTTGTCAAACAAATCCATACGTGATTGCCCAAAAAAAAAAAAAAAATCCATAAATTTTCAGGTGAGTTCGAAGAAGAACCAAGATGGGTTTGTTTAAACCCATTGAAAAGGAACCCAGATGGGTTCGCTTGAACCCAATTCATTTGGGTTCCTTCACGAACTCAGATGACTGGTGAACTGGTTTGAACAAGAACCTAGATGGGTTTGTTCAAACCCAATTCTTGTAGGGTCCTTCACGAGCCTGCATCTTGAATGGTTTAAAAGTGTTTATTTGATATTTGGAAATCGAAATAATTCTTAACTCGTGGGCTCGAGGATTAATTTAAAAAGATTTAACACACCATGTTGAAATTAAGACATGTGTGATCAAAATAGGTTAAATGCCATTTTTAGTTATTGAACTTTCAAGTTTGAACATTTTATCCTTAAATTATTTTTTGTACTTTTTCAGTCCTTGAACTATACTTCTTGCTTTCTTTTCTGCTTTCAATTTGACTTAAAATTTTTCTTCAATTAAATCCCTGCACACAAAATAAAGTTAAAACTAACATTTTCATTTTTCATATTTTTATTTTATTTGATTTTATTTTTTTGTTGTTGAAAATGTTATTATTATTTTCAATTTTATTATTTTTATTGATTTGATAATAACCCAAAGGCTGAGAATGGTATATATTGATTTTTATGTTGAAAATGAAGTTGAACCAATAATTAATTAATTATAATAAATTTGCATTTTTATATACGTCAAACATCCATATCTACCCCCTAAGAATGGAGACAACGAACAAATTCGCCTTCCAACTAAATGTGAAGACAGATTGCCCCATCAACTAATTAGATGGGACAAATTATTCCAATAATGGGGGACAAGAATACACTAATATGCATATTAAACGCAAATATATTGCAAGAGGCAATACAAACTAAAACTGTAGAACATACTTCGGCTTGATTTGATGGTGCCATGTTGTGTTGTGCTCTGCCGAAGGAGTAAGTTTTCTTGTCATTTTATTATCTCAAAACATATAAAATATTAATTAAAATTAATAAAAATATATACAAAATTAAGTAAAAAATTATAAATTTATGTTTTTAGATAAGGTTTTGTATGAACAAAACCTGTCTGAAGCTCTGACAAATGAAACCTTTCTCCAATCACATATTTGTTTAATACAATAGAATATACAATACAAATTTAAACATGCCCAATCCCATTACTTAATACAGTACAAATTAGAACATAAATAATGGAATGCCAAACAACAAAAACTGCCTTCATGTAGCTCCTTGCTTGCCTCATAAGCCAAACTGGTGGTCTTTCAACATCAAACCCGTCGAACAGCATTAATTAACAAAGGTTCTTCGGTAACAGTGGTGGGTTTTGTTTCCACAACACAACAGTATCTAAATCACAGATTTAAGGATATGAAGTTAGAAGTCACAAATTCTCAACAATCTTCGATGTGAAAAGAAAGCAGCCATGTTTAAGCAAACACAATAACCTAGGGATAAGGCAGTAAGCTATCTTAATTTAATACCATGATAATATATTTTTTTTTGGTACTAAACTCCCTCAATATCAGGAAGCCACGTTGAACCCCAACAAATTTGGAGTCTAGCCATGTCAGACTCAAAAGGGGTAAGCTTTCCCAACACCTATTTCTCCATTCACAAGACTCGAACTCAAGGTCTTGCTTAAGGGAAACCAAGCTACTTCTACTCAGACCAATAAGTCATTAATTACTATGATAATATATAAACACATAAGAAGGGATATATCAACTATACTCTAATAAAATAGGATTCAAATGTAAATAAGCTAATAGGCTTTATCATACCAAAGATACCAAAGACAAATACACAACAATTAAAAACAAAACAAAGAGATATTCTTCAAGCTTTCTTGATGGGAATAAGAAAAGGAGAAAGGAATGGTCAGTTCGTATATATGGGTGCTGGTTTAGTTATATAAGTTAGGTTGCAAGTAGATCTGTCAGATAAACAAATGAGTAAACCTAAACCCCAGGACCTGATACTTAATGTGGTACTTACTACCCCTTTAATGCGGTACTTAGCAAGTATATACCCTTTTCACAATTGGTACATACCCATATTACCCACAGTGTAGGTAAAGTACTTAATGATTGGCGTTACCTACAGGTAACCAGCATACTCAATCCAAATGCTCACTGCTAGAGTAGAGTTCATATACAAGAGAAACTCTCTATAACTGAGAAACTTAAATCAATAAAACTCTATCCCTTATCAAACAGAACGTTGCACCTGCAATTGGAACAAACAGCCTCTAGGTGGATCTTTAGTCTATAAAGTGTTTTCTCAGTTCAAAGTCAAAAGTCAGCCCTTTCAAATTTTTATACCTTATTGACCAAAAAAACTCTTGTTAGTCTAAGGGGAAAGCAAATTCAAACTTTTTTTTTTTTATCAGCGCTAATTCAACCATCAATGTCAAAATTTCTAGCAAAAAAAAAAATCAAATTTTTACTAAATTTTTACCACAATAGATGAAATTGAACCAAAGTGGAATGATTTAAAAGAAATAGTTTTTCAGAAGTTGATTCTGCTTCTTGATCTGGAAAAAAAAAATGAAAAGAAAGGAAAGAAAAAGAAAAACACACTTCTATGAGTATACTCTTAAGTTTAAAAAAATTTATCAAATATGAGAACTATTTATGATTTGTTCTACATAATTCCATATTTTATAACATCTTTTTTTTTTTTTTTTTGTATAAAATCTCATTATATTCATAAATTTGATTTCTACAAAACTCAGTCAAACAACATCTTAATACTGTCTAAACTTAAACACTTCAATTCTCAGAGGCAAAACAACTTTTATATTTTTTTTCATTTAGAAGCTTAAGTTTCAATAATATCAATAATATTAAAATTCATATTCTCACTAATATGTAACATATATTCATCATAGACACACATGGGCAATTGCCCAAGAAGTGCATGTGCATGTGTTGAATAAATGCCTAACACAGAAATGGCTAATTTTTGGCACTTTCCGTTCCCAAAATCCACTTCCATGACAGTAGAAGCAACATAAGTTGTTATGAAACTCTTTCTTGTAATTCACTCTAGGATGTACTTTGCTTGGAGTTCATAAATCAACATAAGTTGTTATGAAACTCTTTCTTGTAATTCACTCTAGGATGTAATTTGCTTGGAGTTCATAAATAGTTTTTTCACATCTTACAGTAAACTATGTTCCAATTCCAAAAAACATGTTATTTTCCATGGTTAGCTCTAGTCAAGCATTCCCGTCATGAAACACCTTCCCAGGATGCCAGAGCTAAAAATTATCAAAGCAATCTAATATAGTAAGATTCGATACACTAGACTAGGGTATAGCATCAAAAATTTGGAAATAGATTACCTGGTATGTGTATTTCAACTAAAGAATTATGGGTCAATTCTCAAAAGAAAGGAGGAATCTATCCATGACTTCTGGGATCAACCACTTGGTGCACCTTTCGGGATTCAGCACTTGAATACTGTCCTACTACACGAGCATGTGGAACTGATGCCTCCCCACGTGCAAGAGCATCCACATTGTCAAGGAAATACTGCTTTGGGAACCTGCCAACAACATTTCCCTCCTCGTTACCATCTTTGTCCAAGAATGCAAAGTGTGGTATGCCCTCAACACCAAACTCATCAAGCTCCTGTTCCCACTTTGTGTTGTCAACATTCAACATAACAAAATTAACACGATCCCTGAACCAGAAATGGTTATTGAGTATCAATTATGAAACAAGAACAAAAATATCACAGGGTATCAAAAGAAGAAAATTTATTAAACTTTATCTTCCAAAACATTTGAGGGTTAATCTCATCATAGTTATTTTAGGAAGGATTATTTTGAACTCATAAAGAAGGATATTTTCTAAAGCATAACATCCATACTCAATAGGTTTGTGACAGTGGCCCATGGCTTTGGGCCAAATAGCATCTCCTCTATGAAGAGTAAAAGAACGAAATAAAAAGAAAGGAGTTTACTTGTACTGCTGCTCAACTTTGTAGATATCTGGTGCTAACTCACGACATACTTCACACCAGTCTGCATAGAATTCTACCACTGTAGGCTTCCCGTTTGAAAGGGCCTATATAACCAGCAGAGGACAAGATAATATTAAAGAAATTTCACATCCAATCCAAGCAATCAAGCATAAACAGAGAGAACAACTTGCAGTCTACATATTAAGTGTTATCTATCTTTAATTGTTACAGAAGGGCTATTTGATTTCTTGCAAAGCTAAATGCAAGAATGAAATGTTGGCTCAAGGGGGAGTGAATTGGAGTCTCCAAATTTTGCCTGGTTAAATATATTAATTACAATGTTTTTGTTATCATCAAAATCATTATAGGAGTTCAATTTGAAACACTCTTTAATTGGATTGAATAATTTTGCCTACATTATACAACATAATGAGCACCAAAGGGAGATTTCCACATTGCCACTTAAATTTAGCGTCTTAACTTAGCTTGGTGTGTAGCAATTGGGCGGTAGAGCATAAGAAATCAAACCTCTTCATATGGAATTGCTGCTGCAGATAAATCCTTCAAAGAAATACCAAAATCGAGCCGAGCTGATAAGAAAAGCCCCACTGCTGCAAGAGTAGAAACTATTGCTATCTGTCTATTAATATTTTTGTTTGGAAATTCAGGAAATCCATCATCAAGAGATGAACTTGTAACTTGGCTGGTGTTATTGTTGGCTGAATCAGGCTCAACAAGCAACTTTTCCTACTCCATTGTAGCATATGAGTAAGCATATTAGAAGTTTAATTTAAAAAATGAGGTAATGTGAAGAAACCAAAAATACATTTTATAGACAGCCAAACAGGCTTTAGGAAGGAAAATTGAAAGCTTACAAAAATGGAGGGTTGCAGTGAGGACACTAGCAACTTATTATCATTTCTAAGTTGGGCATGCTGAAAAAGTTGATTGGGCATCCAACTGTACAGTTTTAGTCACTGACATACTCCCTCAGCCCTAGGCCACAAACCTAAGCCCCAGCAGATGCTCAACCATATCATTTACTAGAACTGAAATTAATAGAAAGAAGTACCAAATATTTGAATGGATACTTGAGTAAAATACAAACGGATACTTGGCTGTTCCATAAGGCAACTGGGCAATTTATGATATGTCTGTCTAATTTCAACTTTATCTGCCAGTAGAAAATTAAATATGTAATAGTAAGTTCTATAAGATGATATTGTAGTGTGGGATTTGACATGTACTAGATCTCAGTTTCAACCATTTAGACAATGATTTCTTGAAACCAATCTCTCTATGTCATTTGGTTGATCTCCATTCCACCATGCCATTATTAGCACTAATATCATTTAAGGAATGGTGTTCCTAATTTGAATTGTAAATTAGGCCATGTTAGTCAGACAACATCTTGAATAACTTTCTTCCATCTCATATCTTATCCAGAACCAATTATGCAACTAAAGGTTGACATAATTATTATACTATCTTACCATGAAATTTGTACATGAATTTGTTTTGTTACCTTCAACAAACTGCATGTCCCACTTTTTTCATACAGTCTATTTTACATGCTATCCCCATGCAAAAAGACATGAGGATATTTAAAAATATTGAGCTCATAAAAAATATTTAAAGTCTTCATAAGCTCGAGACCCTAGTTTTATGGAATTAGATTATAGACTGATGAGGTTTAGGAAAGCCAGAACAAATGAGAATATCATTTAAAAAATCATGTATTATAATAAGAAGTCTGAAGCAAATTTCTCTGACGTATTCAAATTACTCCAAGTTATTCAATTTCGATCATATATTATTCCCATTGAAAACCAATAGTGCAACATTATTGGATATATGGAGCACAATTGTCCTTCTCTATAAAGAGAAACTCGACTCTCAATTCAGAAGATATAAAACATTAAATCCCCTCTTTGCTTATTTTCTACCTCACAGATAACCACCTGCCAAGTGCCAACAGCCAAATTACACCCTAATGCAAACCATTACATGTATTTTCCTTTGTAAATTTATATATCAATTCAAAACCCAACTCCTCAATCTCGCTGCCGACTTAGCAAATCAAGCAAAAGCAAGCAGTTGGGTTAAAAACACTAAAGCAAGTAACACTAGCAACTTCTGCTACTAAAGATATTGCGTTCAATACTATGGCAATCAAGATGATATACCTTGGAGATCGCTTGATTTTCGGTGGGAGGCGGATTGGTCTGGCAGGCGATAATTGGGAATTTGCGGGTTTTACGTTGGTCGGAGGGAGATGGAGCTTTCAAGAGGAAGGGTGAATCAGAGGCTTGAAAGTACGGCCGGAATCTATGGAGAGCGAACGAAGGTGAAGCCACACGAGCCATTTCGAGATATTCTTCCACGACTCCGCTGCCTCTAGCTTGGTTGCTTGTACTTTAACGTTTAGATTTCATTTCACCCTCTGCCGGTCCTACCACTGCATTCTTCGCTTCTGGATAAGCCACGTAATCTAATTTATGTTTTTTCCGTTAATTATTCATTGTTATCATTTTAATCTTTCTCCGAAATTAGGAAGTCTTGGCAGTGGTTTTTCGAACAACAATACACTATAAGTGGGGGGGTGGGCACGGTTGGATTTGGGTTGTATTCGAAATTGAATTATCTGTTGATTAAAATTTTAGGTTTTAAATTTTAGTAATAATTAATCAAGTTAAGAAAAATGAATTTTATTGGTTTTGATTTTAATTAAAAAATTATTGTTATATTTTTAGTAAGTTTTTGAATTTTTTTAATTATTATAAAATTATAAAATTATTAAAAAATTTATATAGAAAGTTTTTTTATCTAAATTTTTTAATTATATATACCTTAAATATTAATTTTAAAATTTTTGAACTTAATAATTAAAACTTAAATCATTTAAAATCAATTTTGTTCGATTTTTAATCAAATATATCCAAAAACCTAATCAAAATCTATCTGCCAATCGGAGTTTCGTTGGTTTTCAAAATATTTTTTTTTCAACGGCCAAATTATTGGCCTACCCTAATTATAATTAGGCAAAAGTACTATTTGGTACATCTTCTTTCACAATTTTTTTTTTTAGGATTTGTTTTAAATTTATGATAATTTTTAGATTGATTTAATAAATCTAATTAATTTGTCGATTAAATAAGATTTTAAAAAAATAAATATATGTCAATAAATAGCATTTTTTTCATTAAAGGGCTATGAAAGTTAGATTAATTTAATAATTGACAGTATGATCTATAACTTTTAATGTTAGTTTTTTAAAATATTAATTAAAAGATTAAATCCTTAATTTGGTTCCTTAACTATTATATAGACCCTTAACTTAGCCCATGAACTAAAAAAATTCTTGATTCGGTCCCTATTGTTTACCAAATTTGTCCCCGAGTTGGTCATTCTATATAAAAAACAAATGACATGTTTCATTATTAACATGACATGTGGTTATTAAATAATGATTTTTTACCATTAAGTAACAAATATATCAACTGTTTTTTAACAAAACGACTAACATAGAACCAAATTGGTAAACAACAGAAACCAAATTATGGATTTTTTTAGTTTAATGACTAAATCGATAGTCCATACAATAGTTGAGGGACTAAATTGAGGATTTAACCTAATTAAAATATAAGTTTTTAGATAAATCTTTTTAAAAAATTTTAAAAGAACAATATGCATTATAATAACTCCTTATAATAAAGTATTAATCTATTCTTATAAACAAAGTGTTAATTTATTATAATTAATCAAATTTAATTGATGTATTTTTTTGTCTTAATTTGCATGTTAAGAGACAAATCTCGTATAATCCTTAACTCATCCAACCATACATGATACTATATGAACTTAAACTTTTTTTAATAAATTAATGTATAATACTGTTTTTAAAGTAATTATTAAATAAGAACATAAGTTGTGATAGTAGAATATTCAAAAAAAAACCACAACTCAACACTTTATAGAAATCCCAAATGAAGCCTTAATTTAGTACAAAAAAGTGTTTTTTTATATCAACTTGAAAAAATAAATATCTATATATATAAATATTTGTGGAATTATTTAAATATACTTAATAAATTAATTTTACGTGTTAATTTAGTAAAAATATTAAATTAATTTTACGTGTTAATTTAGTAAAAATATTAAATTAATTTTACAAACACACTTACATTTTTTTTTTCTCTTATAAATGAACTTGAAAATTCTCAACTTAAATCTAGAGAATTCAAAAAGTATATCAAAATGGTCATTCATCAAAATTTTGTAAGTTTTCCTAAAAACATTTCTAACACGCAAGTTCAACATGTAGACCATGACATTTCAATGGTTAGAAGCAATGATCCAAAACTTGAAACGGACATGATCAATTATCTAGTATGAGAAGAAAGCTAAAGAAGTAGAGACAAATGATGATGTGTTAAAATGCATTTTTCTTAGGTCATGTGTGGTGTCCACGAAGTGCCACATGTAGCTAGCCTCAAATTCCATGAAAGTCATTTGTGACGTATCAAATTTTACATCTAAATGAAAATGTGAATATGATTGGTCTATAATTATCATGAGTAATTACTACTAATAACTTGGGTTAAAACTTTTGAGAGCTCATAGATCTTGGTCTGAATTGTGTTTGGCCAGTGGTGGGTTTTGCCTTGAGACAATTTAGTAGATATCAAAGAGGTCACCTCTCGTAGATGTGGGCTTATGTTGACGGGCTTATGTTGACTATCATAACCAATGGTAGTGTGGATCTTGTATTACTTAAAGTGGATTTCATGTTTGTGGGTCAATAGGGCCTTGAATAGATTGTGATTGAAATTGATGCGCACATTAAGTGTTTAAAGGGAGAGATTGTAATGTCGTGAATTTCACGTCAAGATGGAAGTGTGATCAGTATATAATTGCCATGACCAACCATTATTTAACAACTTGAGTTTAAGCTTTTGAGTGCATGTAGATCTTGATACAAAGAATTGTTAAGGGTAGTAGCAGACTTTAGATTATGTCATTTCAATTAGTATCATAGAGGTTACCTCTCATAGGTGTAGGCCCATACTAATTATTATGATTGGTGGTAGTGTGAACCTTGTATCACTTGTGATGGATCTTGTGCTTATGGGCTGATGGGTCTTATTTTGATTGGACTCAATAAGGATATTAAGCATTTAAGTGGAGAAGGACTGGGGTGCCTTGAATTCCATATTGAATAGAAGTGTGAGTGTGATTGGCATATAATTGTCATAATCAACCATTACAGACAACTTGAGTTTAGATTTTTGAAGGCTTGTGGATCTTGACTCGTGGATCTTGGCTTGAAATTAGGTGAGAAGTGAGTTTTGGCTTGAATTGTTTCAATGTTTAATTAATTTCACAAACATTCTATGCCTTTTTCATGTAGATCAACTTGAAAATTCTCAACCCTAAATTAAAGAAACTAACAAAACTTTGATAGATAAGACTATTTTGACTTAATTTTATGATTTTATTTATTTTATTTCATTTGAAGTTGTGTTACTCAATAGAACATTCTCCGTATTTGAGATAGTGCTAGAAGTATGATAACATAATCAGAACTTAAACAACTTGGGTCAAAGTCCTTATTAGTCTTATCATTCTTTAAGTTGAGCTTAATTTTGAGTTATTAGTAGTTGTTGGTATTTATACTTGTATACTTGGAGAGTGCAATTAGTGAGTGCCCCTAGTACTGCTTTATGTGGATTGGTTTGGATTGATTATAACACTTATGTCAACTGTTAACAACATAGTCATGAGTTAGAGTCCTTAACTAATCTTTCTAAACCAAAAGTTCTTTAATTGTTTAGTAATTAAAGCAACATGCACTAGCTTCAGCATCTAAGTTTAGCTTGGTTCCAAAGTATTTAGTTTTTAGTTGAGGGCGGTACTGGTAGGGTTCTAGGGATTTCCAGAACTACCTAGCTGCTATTAGGAACTCTCTTTTTCTAGAATAAAACTAAAAGGTCTTAAGGTTTTACATGGCTTATTTGGGTTTCCATGTGTATTTCTTAGTTTAAACCCTTCCATGGGTGTTTCTCTAAATATCCTCCTCTTGGTTGCAGTATAGCAATATAGGCGTTGCACTTGCTTTGCTCCAAACAAGAAAAATGGATGCCTAATATGGTTTGATCACAACCATTTAACTCAATCACATGACTAGTGACATCATAATTTATGGTGTAAATAGGATGAGGATGAGAATAGAGGCGGCCATTGGAATGCAATTCCCTATTTTCATTAAAAGAAAAGGGTTGGGGGGTAGGGGGGTGTGGGGATAGCGTCATAACAGAACGGAGGTGCAACGTGACAAACTGGAGTGATAACTGATAAATTAATTAGAATTCCAACTTCACTGGTCGCACTACACCTAAATAATACACAAACATGATGGCGAGTTCGACATAATTTCAACGTGATGGGAGTTTTCCGAAACAACCTATCTTTCCTACTCGCTAATTAGCACATACATAAACTTGGTTACGCACAAGAACCTGCACTGGCAATAATACAAAGATATACAATTAACAGAAGAAACTAAATTTCTGCTCTTCAGAATAGCAGACATCGAGAATGCTTCACAGAGCTCCAGAGTCTGGCTTAGGGACCTAGGAATCAGGTTGGGAATAAAAATAAGACTTTAACTTGAACCTTCTGAATATTTTGATTGCTATGTACATTTCTCATGGGAAATAAGACAGCTTCTCACAACACAATGCAATCCAGCCCTACAAAAGAACTTGAATTAGACGCCAAATATTTACTTGCAAACAAAGATCATCTAGTCGTCACCATGCCCAGTAACAAATTTCTATAAATATGATAGTATGTGAAAGATGTTTGCTAGAAAGTCACGATAATTTAATAAGAATAGACTACAAGATTTCCCTTTACCGCAAGCCAACCATAGAAATCCAAAATGAGGAAGAAAAAAGGTCATGCTAAGTTGTTGAATATGTTTAGTGAGACTATAGCAACACAAATTTATGTAAGAACCAACTAAATTACCTATTATTAAGTGAAATCACTCATCAGATCATTTGGAGGAAATTGCTACAGCATTGGCATACCCACTTTTGCATTATCCATGAAATCCATATCTGGTTCCCGCTTCACTCTGTTAACATTGTTCTCAGCAAACATTTTTCCATGGTTTGAGCTGCTAAATGTTGATTGAAATTCATCAAATGCAAATATGCTTGGAATGCTAGCTCCTTGACCAACAAATCCAAGATTCTCAATCAGTCCTTGATCAAATGCTTCACTTGACTTAGCAGTAACATAGGAAACCTGGGCATTGCAATTATTTTGAACAAGTCCTGGAAATTGATCGACAAGTTTAAAAGCAATGCTTTGGTTTTGAACTTGCTGAGTGGTGCAACTTTCAGCATTTACCGAGCAAGTTGACACAGATGGAGAAACAGGACTAGGAGCTGCATACCCATTATTAACACCTTTAGTTTTGATATTCCCATTTGACAACTGTCCATTGCTTGTTTGAGATGAAAGAAAACCATAATCAATAATACCCATCCCAGTGAAGCTGGAGTTCTGATTTACCGAAGCTGGACTATTTCCTGCTTGAAAACTGGCGGATGAATGAGAGGGAACTACAAGGCAAGATGGCTGAACACTAATAGAACGACTAGGCTCAAGAAGAGTAGATTGCTGCTGCTGTTGTCGTTGCTGCTGCTGCACTAATTCAATCAGCAAGTTACTATTATGAGAACTTAACCCTCCGAGGTTACCTGTAGTACCCACTGCACCAATGCTATTAGATTGCCAAGCTCCAAAGCCTGAAGGAATCTCTTCAACAGATATATTTGATTGTGGGAAGTGTTTGGCAATGTTAGATTGGCATTTTACCAAAGCCTGACCAAAAGCCACTCCATGGTCCGCTGGAATACTCTTAGGCCCCTGAAGGGATGCTTGAAGAAGATCTGGTTGCTCTATTGCTGCAACTAAATTGCCTGTTGGTCTACCTAAGAGCTCAGCATGTAGGGCTGACAATGTTTGTGGGGGAATTTGTCCAGAAGCAGCCAATGCTTGAATGTCGAATCTCCCAAGCGAACTAATTTTACCATTTGGTTCGACAGGCCGGCCAAATGTATTAGAAATTCCACCTTGTTGAGCCACTCCACTTATTCTCTTCAAATATAGTCTGAATTTCTGCCACTTGACATCATACTTATAGTAAGTGAAAATGATGCATTACAAAGTACCTCTGCATAACTTCACCAATGGTGACACATAAAGAATGCATGGGAATAACATGAGAATGCTTAGTGCATAGACTTTCCCACACATAAAGCATGTATTTGGCATCCATGGCGAAGTTCCAACAGAAACAGCTACTTTAATGGTAAAAAGGTTCCAGAGAAGTACCTAGAATAAACAGGCTAGAAATTCCAAGTACATAATAGGATACATGTTTGGTTAACAATTGTGACTTTTAACATGTGTATTTTCAGGCAGAGACGCAAAACCAATTAGATAGGTAAACAAAAGTAGAGTCAAACACATGTGCAGATGGTTTTTTCTCTTACTGCATTTTGATTAGTTGATATGCATTTAGAACTCAATCATGGAATCCATTTTTAATCAGATACATGCCGATCCCTAACGAGGTCAAACTCATCTGTCCAACAGATGTCTAAAGAGAATACAATTACAAATTGAATAGGACTTTTGAGTTCCAAAATATGGTAAAATCAAAGGATAAAGAATGAAAAATCAATTAACCACCAAATCACTGGAGATACTCCATAGCAGAAGCCTACAGGGAGATTGATTTTCAGATATTTTTGCACTTCCTCAATGAAAAATGTTGACAAAAGAGAATCAATAATGCATCATATTGAATAAAGCTAAAGAAAGAAATGCCCATCAACAAAGATCACATGATGTGTTGACCACCAACAAAATTTAGGGCTCAAAATTAAGGGCCACATAGAAGCAAGAAGAGGGAAAAAAAAAAGGAAGAAGAAGAAGAAAAATAAATATTTTCTCTAGCTAAAGCAAACTGAAAACCAGCATGTGAAATTCCAAACAAATACAATTAATGGAAAGACCCAGACCTGCAAATGGCTTGCAACATTTTCTCTAGTTAAACCAGGTACATTCATCAGCTCAAGAATTCTCTTTGGCACGGCCTCTGAAATGGCAGCCCACATCTCAGAGTCAGAATAATGAGGAAAAGGAAGTAAACAATATTCACAAATTTATTAAGAACATTAAATGTGGCTCCCCATTCCAAAGTAATACCATATAAAAGTAACTAGGAGGAATATATTGATGGAAGTCTTACTATCAATCCCAAGCTGGTTTACAGCACTGACAAATTGCTGATGTAGTTCAACTGACCAAACTACACGTGGCTTCTTTGATGTGGATGGATCATCATTTTCAAGTTCTCCATCATCATCGTCTTTAGGATTGGTTCTTTTTTTATGATGCTTCAATGCTCCTTCTGTCCCTTCAGTAACAGAAGAAGCATATTCAGCATCGTCATTTCCTAGTTTGTGTCTATCATTATCTTCTAAACTTCCTGAGTGTTCTAGCTCTTTATTCTCATTCCATTTTTTCCTAACAACATGTTGCCATATATTCTTGAGTTCCTCCTCACGTATAGGCTTAATTAAATAATCACAAGCCCCATGTCTAATTCCCTTCATGACTGCACTTGTTCTCCCATCAGCAGATATCACTGCAGTAGAAGTCATCATGTGAACATAATTAAGAAAATTTGAAAAACTTTCATTAAAAGGAAAGGGGAGAGAGAGAGAGAGAGACTTACTAATAACAGGAAGGTCCATTTCCAGCCCAACATGTTCAAGTAGTTTATACCCATCCATATCAGGCATATGCACATCACTGAGCACCACATCAAAAGAGCCCTTCCTCTCCCGTAGAAGGCTTAAAGCAACAGTAGCCTGGGTGCAAGGGGTTACTGCAAAAATAAAAATTAAAAAGAAAGAAGTTATGTAACCTTTCTAACAAAGTTAATTAAAGGATAACAAGCAAAATCTAGAATGCTGACTTAGTCAATTTTGGGATTAATTCAAAATGAAACAACAAAAAAGATTTCTAAAGCAGGGAAAGAATAGACAATTATTCCACTCCCATCAGATACAATCTGATTAACCAGTGATGTAAAGATTCAATTACAGGGGAAGTCTAGAACTCATTGATTCAATGCCCACTGTTGCCTCAGTCCTCACACTTGGTAGAACTGCTAATTGAACTTAGATATATTAACATAAATCTTAACCAAACCTAGAAAATGAGGAAGGGAAATGTTCCTTGCCAAAAATCCCTACTTCAGTTTTTCACTATCAAATACAAATATGCAATATAATGGATCAAAGTCTTAATTCACATAAATATCATGCATTGATGTCCGTTGTTCCTTATTTTCTTAATTCGTATAGGATCTAAAAGATGGAAAACTTTCATATCAAGTTATCCAATCTTGGCTTCATACTCCCCAAATCCGACTTCAGTTCGTTCACATTCTGTATTGTGAAGCCATTTGATTCTCATATTCCAACATTATGATAAAGGGAATTCATAACAATCAAATGAAACGTTTTCCTCACTTATTTTAAACAAAAAAGAATTTGCAAACACCTTTAGCTAAGGATTTATAATCAATTCAACTTCCATCCGCCAACTAACACCACGGCACTAATTTGCAGCCACCCAAGCAATCGACAGAACTAAAACGTAAATATGAAAAGAGTTGAAACGAGCGTTAAAAAATTTCCAACTAAAATCCGAGTCCAATTCCAATTAACATACCGTGATAGAGGCAGTTGAGAAGCATCCGTTCGAGAATCCGCAAGCACGTAACGTCATCGTCAACAACGAGAACCCTCAACCCAGCAGGGAACTGATCAGACACTACAACCTCCGGTCCCTTGTCGGTTGTGCCGACGGTAGACTGTGCCAGTTTCTGCATGGCAGACACAGTCCAGAGACGAACCAAAACACAATCGAACCCTAGAAATCTAATCTGCCTCTATTTCACTGCAGACAAGGGGGAATTAACCATTTTTATTAAATGGAGATGAGATCTGTGAGAAAGAAAACCTAGAATTCCGGAGGTTGAATTCGTGAGATAGTAGGGATCAGAGGAGTGAAATTTGGTTGAATTTAAGTTCTGGTGATGGATGGGGATGTGTTGAATTTCTTCTACAGAACGACAGGGGAAGTAGAAAAGAAGCTGGGAGTTGGGGAGCTTGAGACGAAAATTTTGCAAGTAAATATGCACGCATTTTTATTATTATCTACCTAGGTGAGTTCATCATTATTGCAATTGTACTATCTCACGTTTAATAATGATTTTTTTTTTTCTTTTATACCAGCAGCACTACATCGGTAACAATCTACGTTAAAAATTTTAACTCTTATCAAAATTTAAATCTCTTTAAGAATAATTGTAATATTTTTTTATTTAAAA